GGATGTGGTGGTGGTTCTGCCTTGGGGAGTCTTCCTCCTCTTTCAGGGCCTTCTTTATTCTAAAAAGCTTCTCTGTGCCCCACAACTCTGGCCTGATATCCGTGGGACTCCCATCTGCTAATATAGTGGCTTTGGGGTTTCTGGAAGGGTCTTAGGAGGCCAGAAGTATCAGGGAAAGTTGCTGGTGATGGGGTGGGTAGCGTCAGAAACAGCCAGTTTTCCCTCTTCAGACACTGAGAGGTTAATCAGGGAACAAAATCCAGGTGGAAACTATTTACTGTGGAGCAGACTATTGTCTGTCCCGTTTATGACAAACCCAAATGAGGATTGGAGGGACTCCCAGTAAGTGGTCTCTTCACGCTCTCCCCCTCCCAGTTTTAGATGAAGCTTAGAGCCTGGCCTTCTGTGTTGCTTGCACATGCTCTCCCCCTCCCAGATTTAGATGAAGCTTAGAGCCTGGCCTTCTGTGTTGCTTGCACATGCTCTCCCCCTCCCAGTTTTAGATGAAACTTAGAGCCTGGCCTTCTGTGTTGCTTGCACACGCTCTCCCCCTCCCAGTTTTAGGTGAAGCTTAGAGCCTGGCCTTCTGTGTTGCTTGCACATGCTCTCCCCCTCCCAGTTTTAGGTGAAGCTTAGAGCCTGGCCTTCTGTGTTGCTTGCACATGCTCTCCCCCTCCCAGTTTTAGGTGAAGCTTAGAGCCTGGCCTTCTGTGTTGCTTGCACATGCTCTCCCCCTCCCAGTTTTAGGTGAAGCTTAGAGCCTGGCCTTCTGTGTTGCTTGCACATGCTCTCCCCCTCCCAGATTTAGATGAAACTTAGAGCCTGGCCTTCTGTGTTGCTTGCACACGCTCTCCCCCTCCCAGTTTTACAAGAAACTTAGAGCCTGGCCTTCTGTGTTGCTTGCACATGCTCTCCCCCTCCCAGTTTTACAAGAAACTTAGAGCCTGGCCTTCTGTGTTGCTTGCACATGCTCTCCCCCTCCCAGTTTTAGGTGAAGCTTAGAGCCTGGCCTTCTGTGTTGCTTGCACACGCTCTCCCCCTCCCAGTTTTAGAAGAAACTTAGAGCCTGGCCTTCTGTGTTGCTTGCACACGCTCTCCCCCTCCCAGTTTTAGATGAAGCTTAGAGCCTGGCCTTCTGTGTTGCTTGCACCAAATCTGTATGTCTCGGGGGAAACTCATGCTCCATGAACGGCCATCCTTTTATTTGGAACCAGCCCTTTTCACCCTTTCATCAGTCTTTTTGAGGGAAATAACCTTTCTTGCCTCAGTACTTCTCTCTGGTCCTTGCTGAAAGGCAGGGAGAAGAAATCCATTCTCTGAGCCTTGCTGGGTTGTCAGAGGCCATGAGAGGTGCCAATTATAGGTGGATGTGCCAAGATGCAGGTGAACTTGGTCTCCAGCTATACCCAGGCTCAGAAAGGGCAAGAGCCATGCTGCAGGTAGGTGACTTTGGGGGTGCACTTGGGGCCCAGGGCTTTGAGTGGTATGGGTGTGCCTGTCCCTCCAGATGGCCCTCTGTTTCTCCCTGTTTTTCCTGGCCCTCTGGGGCTGCTGTGCATTCTGCTGTGCACATTTATAAACAATGTGTATTTTATAGAGACCTGCTTGCATTGGCTGATGCTCCTTTAATTCCCTGAGTTTGGTTCAGCCACTTTTGGGTTTTTTTCTTTTTTTTGCTTTGGCCTTAGCCTTTAAAAATATTTTTAAATAAACTTGATTTTTCTAGTGTAAAAAAAAAAATCGTAGACACCAGGGTCTTGCTATGTTGTCAGACTGGTCTCAAACTCCTGGCCTCAACTTAACATCCCTCCTTGACCTCCCAAAGTGCTGGAATTGCAGGTGTAGCCATCATATTTGGCTAAGTTTGGCAGTTTCTTGAAAAACTAAACATGTATTCACCATATGACCCAGGAATTACATCCCAGACATTTATACCAGAGAAGTGAAAACTGGTGAACTCATGCTCATAGGAAAACCTTACACACATGTTCAAAACAGCTTTATTTGTAGTGGCCCCAAACTAGAAACAGCCAAAATGCCTTTCAATAGGCAAATAAACAAACTGTGCTGCATTTAGACCATGGAATTAAATTACTCAGCAATTAAGAAAAAAACAGATTGTCAATATATGCAACAGTTTGGATGGAGCTCAAGGATATTATGCTAAGTTGAAAACACCAGTCACATACTGCAAGATTCCGTTTAACTCGTATTTTCAAAATGACACTATTCTAGAAATTAGTAGAGAAGAAATTAGTGGTTTTAAGTTGTTAAGTTGATTGTGTGGGGGGGAATTTGACTATAAAGGGAAACATGAAGATCTCTGTGATGTGGAATAGCTCTGTACTTGATTGTGGTGGTGATTACACAAATCTACAAATGTGATAAGACATGCACAAAACTATACACACATTTTATCAAGGTATTTTCTTGGTTTTGCTGCTATGCTATAGTTACTTAAAATATAAACATTTGGAGAAACTGGGTGAAGGCATATGCAGAATATCTCTGTACCATCTTTGCAATTTCCCAGAAATCTATAATTACTTAAAGTAAAAAAAAAAAAATTAAAGTGGCTTTCTTGCTGAAATCCCAAGCCCCAGAATACCAAATGCTGGCAAAGATGTAGAAAACAAGATCTCTCATTCATTGCTGGTAGGAATGCAAAATGATACAGCCATTTGGGAGATACTCTGGTTGGTTGTTATGAAGCTAAACACACTTTCATCATATGATCCAGCAATTGCACTTCTACATATTTATCCAAAATGGAAAACTTAGGTCTGCACAAACATCTGTTCATGGATGTTTATAGCCACTTTATTCATAATTGCCAAAATTAGAAGCAACCAAGATGTCCTTCAATAGATGAATGGGTAAATAAACCGTAGTGCATTCATACAATGGAGGATTATTTAACATTAAGGACAATAAGCTATCAAGCTATGACAATATATGCAGGAAACCTGTATGCATAAGGCTAAGCGAAAGAATTTCATCTGAAAAACTCTATACTGCATTATTAAAAGTATGTGACATTCTATGAAGGCAAAATAATAGTAAATAGGTCAGTGAATGCCAGTGGTTCAGAGGGAGGGGGGAGGGATGGGTAGATAGAGCCTGGGGCATTTTCAGATCAGTGAGGCTATTTTGTAAGATCCTGTAATGGTGGATATATGACCTTACGTATTTGTCAGAACCCATACAACTGTGTGATAGAGAGTGAACCCTAGTATAACAATGAACTTTAGTTAATAATGATTATCAGTATTCGTTCATCAATTGTAATTAATTGTACCACATTAATACGGGATGTTAAGCATTGTAGAAACTGGGGATGGAGGAACTCTCTATACAGTTTATGTGGTTTTTCTGTTAAATTAAAACAGCTCTAAAAATAAAGTCTGTGAAAAATGGTTTTCTGACATGGTAGTATATGGGTTTGCTTTTTGCTTTTGTATTCCGTACTTGTCTGAGTTTTAGTGTGTTCTCTGTTGTGTTGTTATTTCATAATAAAATTTGTAGTCATGTAAGAAAGACACAAAGACACTCAAACCTATTCGACCTTCAGTAGTCTCAAGATCCTGCTTTGATTCTCTGAACCATCAGTAAAGACACTTTTTTTTTTGAGTTGGAGTCTTGCTGTGTCACCAGGCTGGAGTGCAGTGATGGAATCTCCACTCACTGCAAACTCCCCCTCCTGGGTTCAAGTGATTCTCCTGCCTCAGCCTCCTGAGTAGCTGAGAATATAGGCACCCACCACCACACCAGGTTAATTTTTATATTTTTAGTAGAGATGGCATTTCACCATGTTGGCCAGGATGGTCTCGATCTCCTGACCTCATGATCCACCCATCTCTGCCTCCCAAAGTGCTGGGATTACAGGCGTGAGCCACTGCGCTCGGCAAGAAACTTCTTATTTATTAGTAAGTCTTAGCAGGTCATGATGATTTGATTTACCCTTGTTTTGTTTAGCTTCTCCTAGATTTTTATCATCAGGCTGTAGAAATTTTGAGAATAACAACAGAATGTATAATTTTTTGCAATATTTTATTATCACTAAGCACATATCTAATTACTTTGCTTGAATTTTCCTTTTAATTCTGATAATAACTCAATGTAATAAAAATTAACACCAGTGTTTTCATGAGTAATGTGAGGCTAAGTTAAGTAGGATACCAGTGAAACATAGATAGTAAATGATACAGCCACGATGAAACCCAAGCCTAACTCATTTCAACAGCAATTATTTGCAGTCTATCACACTGTCATGAATAGTTAATCTTTATGGTTTATGGCAGGCTCTGGAAACTATTTTAGAAATAAATATCAAGTCACAGTTTTATAGACAAATGGGCAATAGTTCACTGTGTTTCAAATATTCTTTCCTCTCATCTTAATGCATATCTTTCTCCCCAACCCCAGATTTCACTCAGCTTTTCGACTCAAAGGCAAATCTTCAAATATAAGATGGTTTCAAGAATCAGTCAGATTACTCTCCCCATAATAAAACAGGCATCTGAGACTATGTCTAACAGAATGGGTAAGGCCAATCTTCAGTGTCCAATCTCTTTGCTCATTAAGTCTGGAATGAACAATGTTGACATGTAAATCCTGTAATGTTTATGGATCCTCCTCTCTTCCTTCTCCCCATTCTAACCTCATCTGCTCCCCTCCATCCCATGCATTCTCAGAGTCCATACCTTGGGGTTTCAGATTCACTCTACTGAAGATGCAGTCACGTCATTGCTCAGTAGAGATCTCACAACAAACCAATCCCACTTAAGGTTTTCCTGATAAGGACTAGACCACAAGAGGATTGCCTGCAGATGCACAAAATGAGACCAAGCCCACATGAACCGGGATATGTCTGATGAATTCCAGAGCTTATAAGATAAATTCAACATTCGGAGATTTTATGAGTAAGGGATCACATATATTCCCCAGCACTGACTCCCAGCCCCCACTGCTACACAAAGAACTGGCTTAAACACCGAAAGTTCCACTCAAGATCATCAAAATAGTTTATTGTGTTCAGAAAAATCACAGTTTGAGGAAACCTTAAACAATAAGTACACAAGAGATGCCCCCGTGGGATGTTCAGAAAGTTCCATAGCAGAGAAATAATCCTGTATGTTTTATTCCAGAGGCATTGCATGGTAATGATAAACTGATGGGAAATAAAGGAAAACAAATACAGGAAAGGCAATAGACGGGGAAGCCAGCTAGATGTTAGAGCATGGAGCAATTGAGGACGCATAACCATGCTTGGGGCGGCTACAGGGCTGGAACATGCTGAAGATGATTGTTTTCAGCTGAGGTCAAGGATTGGAATATTGCAGCTCTGTAAAGCTTTTTTAAAAAGTTTCTTCCATGATCTTCTCTCTAAGAAACACCATCACCTATAGCAAGACACACATAGTTACTAAGGAGTTTAAGATGAGTTCTGAGCTCTTTGCTTCAGATTCCTTCTTTTCTCTTAATCCTTTGACTTTACAAAAATCTTTCAATGTTCATCTAACCTTTCCAACATCAGCTATGTACCTTGCTCTCCAACTGAATGTAATAAGCAACCATGCTTTACCTTATTTTACAGTTTCTGATACTACATTTGAGACTAAAGGGGCAAAAGAAGGCATTGACCTCTAAGAGATTCCCATTTTATGCAATGAATCTACCCTCACTCCAAAGGAGCCAGGATCTGGAAATGCTTCTGAACTGATGATCTGCCCCAGGAAATATAAGCTAGGATGTGCCCCAATCTTGAGGTTTATATTTCTAGATACTTAGACTCCGTATTCTAATATGAAACTGTAGATACTGAAGATGATTTAGGTACTGAAGACATATGAAACAATGTAGATACTGGAGATGATTTAGGTACTGAAGACAATCTCCAAGACTGGAGCCGTGATCTGGGTGCCCATCTATAGAAGGGGATGAGAGACGCTGAAGCTTTGGGATACCAGATGATACCAATGTCTGATTCGTTCTAGCAAAGCGAATTCAAGAGCCACATCTGTTCCTATCTTGTCTCTCAAATGCATTACATTTTATTTCCCCATCCTGTTTTCCTCCCTCAGATACCTCCATGTACGTCTTCCTCCAACCACACCTAACTCACCTTCCTGCCCCTCACAGAGGCCCCCTGCGTTCTGTAGCATTGCTTTTGCGCACACCCTTGATGATGAAGATGGTCCCAACGATGATGCCTACCAGACCCACAATCAGGCCCAGGGCACACACCACATTCTCTGTAGTCTCTGGGAGAGGGCTTGGTGCATCATACTCTGTGAGGAAAATAAGGCAGAGTACATGGTAATGAGTGTGGGAAGGTGTAACACTCAGAACCAAAGGTAAGATACTTAATAAAGAGAATAGTTATTCATAGATTAGAGAGGACGAAGACAGAATGATGTATTGAGGGAACTGCAGATTAAAAAAGTGAAGAAAGCTGGGTAATAGGAGAAGACAGATACATTAATTGTAGCAGATATTATGAAACAGGACACTGAGTTCTACACAAACATCATAGGAGAAAACCTTGAAATAAAGGAGATTGAGTGACGGTCCCTACCCCAGTGCTTGAGAAGAGGCTCATCCAAGCCCAAGTGCTCCACCTTGCAGTCATAAATGTCCTCAGTTGAGGGCAGGAAGGGGAGATAGTGGAACTTGCGGAAAAGATGGTCTTCCCTGGGTAGGAAGACTGTCTCTGACACTCCTGTAGTGACAGGTTTTCCATTTTGAAGCCATGTGACATTGACCACTGGTGGGGTGAATTTGTCGATGAAACAGATGAGGACGTTGGGCTCTCCCAGTTCCACAGGGCTGTCTGTGAGCACAGTTACCTCTGGAGGAACTGAAGGACACAGGACAGAAATCAGCTAACACTGCTTAGGCTCAGTCCTCTCCCTCCCATGCTGAATTATGGTACAAACCTATCTAAAAACCCCAAAGCTGAAGAAGTCGTTGAAATTGTGCCTTGAGAAGCCTATGCCACATCCTCAAATAACATTTCTGACAGGCCCTCCTCCAAGAAACTGAGGCAATATTGAGGTATAAAATATGCCAGGACTTCCCTTCTGGCTCCCCAGCATGAACTCAGACACCCAAGTGTGGGTGGCAAAGACACCAAATGAGCACATGAAGATAGGAACAAACCCATAAAGTTCTCAGACCTCTGGCCTGAGACTCTGGGGCTAGTTTATAGGAAAGTTAGGCCCCTTAGAGGGAAAATCAGTTACAATAATCTAACACAAAAAGCTGAAGCATCTATTTCAAACTCTGGATTCCCATGTCCAGGAGTGCAGCAGAGAGGAAGGTACCGTTGGAGATCGGAGTATTGTTGGAACGCTTTGTCATGATTTCCAGGTTGGCTTTGTCCACAGCTATGTTGGCCAGTGCACCCTGGGCCTCAAAGCTGGCGAATTTCCCAAATTCTTCAAGTCGCCAGACCGTCTCCTTCTTTGTCATATCCACGTGGAAAATCTCATCACCATCAAAGTCAAACATAAACTCCCCTGATTGCTCAGGGTTCAGATAGAACTCGGCCTGGATGATCACGTGTTCTTCTGAAAGGCAAGAAAGAAAGATAGGGAGTTGGGCGGGGGGAATCAGGAGAGAGAAATGTATGTGGCACTTCCTGTCACGTACATGTGGACAGGAAGTGGTGGGGAGAGATTGGGCCAAGAGCAATGAAGGAATGAGGGCAAGTAGGGATGAGTGACAAGACAAGGTCTGAGTGAAGGATATGCTGCTGAACAACGCTGGGAAGAGAGAAGAAGGACTGGTTATAAAGAGGGTGGATTGAAGGAGATGAGGGCTAAAGAACCCTCAGTGAAGCTGTTGTTTGACTCCATGTTACTAGCTGAGAAATTATTTTCTTTTTAGAAAAATGTTTTCTCCCTCTCTTTACCCAGGCACTAAATACACTTAGGCCAGAATTCCAGAGCATCTGTTTCTCAGAACATTGTACTCTAAAAAGAGAGAAATGCTGTGTGAACGGCTGGGTTTTAAACTCTGGAATCAAATAAAATCTTGAATTCTTATTCAGCAACTTACCTAGTGATACTGAACAGATTATTCTACCTATTTATGTGTAGTTTTCCTATTATGTAGTCCTGCTGTGGTTTCCATCCTGTCGGGGGTTTGTTTTTGTTTTTGAGACAGAGTCTCTCTGTGTCACCCAGGCTGGAGTGCAGTGGCACGATCTTGGCTCACTGCAGTCTCCACCTCCAGGGTTCAAGCAATTCCCCTGCCTCAGCCCCGCAAGTAGCTGGGATTACAGACACACGCCACCATGCCCAGCTAATTTTTGTATTTTTAGTAGACATGGTGTTTCACCATGTTAGCCAGGATTGTCTCGATCTCTTGACCTCATGATCTTTCTGTCTCAGCCTCCCAAAGTGCTGGGATTACAGGTATAAGCCACTATGCCTGGCCCAGGGGTTTGTTTTTAAGATTAAACGAGATAAGCCAAGTAATTTCTTAGTTTATCAACAAGGATGTAACAAGAACTATTTACATTTTAGTCAGAAGCTTCCTTTTATTTAAGGGCCAAATCTTTGGAAAATATAACTAGGGACTGAAATATTCTGAAAATTAAGACTGCGGCCTTGTAGCATTTCAGAGCCCCTACTTCCCTGCATCCAAACCCACACGGTGGTTACCTCTGTGAGAAGGGCCACGTTTGGATTGACCTTGGCAATTCCACCTTTTATCTTAATGCTCCTTAAATTGGGACTGCTATAATGCAACACGTTCTATTATGACTAACACTGAGAACAACCAACACCAAGGGAATAATCAACATGACAAAGGAAAGCTACTGCCTCTGTGGAGTGTTGATGAGTGAGAGATTTTCTCTGCTTAGCCTTTAAAGACAAGGCGAGACATTTTAATATTTGACTGTGTATTGATAAACCTATGAATTTATTTAGCATCTGCATCTAGGCAAACACACACAAATATGCTAGCTGCCTCTTCACAAAAGAAGGAAAGAGGCTCTATCTTCCCAGGTAAGTATCCCTATGTGTGGCTTATTTTGGGCAATAGAAATCTATAATTGCCACTATGGATATGGGAGCTGGGTTATTACTTCGCTTATTTCAAGTCTATCTGACACCTTCTGTGGGGGTCACTCTGGGTGAAGAATACTTTTCTACAATACATCTTTACAACAGCACAAATGTTGCTCTGGAGATGAGAGAGAACAGTATCAGATTCCCCACTTCCTTACTTATTTTTCTACTGTCTTGGAAGCATTACCAAGTTAACATGATCTAAGGCCTACTGCAGCATGGAGATGGGACGGTAGGAAATGGCTACACTGTCCCAGGAGGCAACTTTTATCCTCATGCTTTCCTTCCCCTTCTCCTTGGGTAAATCATTGCTTTTTCATGACTTCTCCTTCTAGTAATCTTCAACACAATTTAGTGCTAAATCTATACTGAGAGAATTCGCACCCCCAAAAATAACTACTGTATCACGTATTCGGATAAGAACAGTGCTAATAGCTTCTCTTTTTTTATTATTTAATTTCTAGCAAAATTATGTGCAGTTTTTAGTTTTTAATTGTATTAATTTTCCAGGAAGAATAATTAAAGCCCAGAGATATAGCCTGTCAATGCTTGCCGGGAAATATTCTTCCTTCCCAACCCCCAGTGTGGCTTGTAGCAGGACCGTGCTATTCAGCAATACACAACTCAGTTTTGTTCTTCTGAACCAAATTTGACTTACTTCAATTTGTGGTGAGGGAAGAACTCCACCAAACCACAATTTATTATACTTTCTGTTTAGACCACATCATACCTGTCCCACTTTTCTTTCACTCCCCAGATTATCTTGCAAATGTCCACAGGCCATTTCTCCAATGCTTCATAGACTATTGTCCCAGATTTTACTCCCTCAGCACCTACCTTTGATGGCCCATGATTCCTGAGGGCTCATCAGCACAATCATGAGGAAAAATCCTAGCACCAAGACTCCACTTACAGCCATTTTCTTCTTGGGTGCTCTGTTGGGAGTCAGTAGAGCTCAGGAGTGAGACAGGACAAGAATAAAAGAAAAGAGATTGTGGGCTTTAAGAGAGTCTGATGATTAAAATGCAAATCAATTAAGCATTGGCCAATAAGAAAACTATTTTGAGATGACACATCTGTTGCTAGGGGAAGAGTTCTTGCAAAGGGTCCAGGACACAAGACATTCACCTCATTGGATAAATAAGTTCTTAAACAAGCAGAACAACAACAATAAATCAAGTATTTAAGGATGTTGATCAATCACTGACAGATTCATTCATCCCAACCAGAGTTCTAGAAAGGGGTATACCTGAAGCACATTAGTGAGAATATAATCAATGGAAACACCCTAAAGTGAGAGTTAATCACAGTTCATATGTCTGTGCCATGACAGCTAGAGAGTGTGTGTAATGGACAATAAATTACCCAAATAGATGGTAAATTGTCAGACCATGGAGAATGTCTGAATTTTGGCAGTATTGAGTGACATAGCTTCACTAAAGAAGCTCTTTCATGCTTCTTGGAGTCCTGGAATTCAAGATGATCAACTCAGGCCAAGAGCTTGGGGATGGCTGGCATTGTGCCTCATTTAGAGAAAATCAAAGGAGAAACTCCGAGGTTCAACACTGTCAACACTGGAGAAGGATGGGAAGCTGTATCTTGAAACACAAGTAGTAGTTAGTGGAAATAGTGGGCTGTAAAGGAGCTACCTTCTTCTCATCTCTCCCATTTTAAATATGATGAGAGATTGGAATTGACTAATGAACACACTTCATTTGAGGATTCAGGTCAATGACTATGAGAGAGTATAGTGGGCAAAGCCTTTTTTTTTTTTTTTTTTTTTTTTAGATCGAGTCTTTCTCTGTCACCCAGACTGAAGTCATTGGTGCAACCTCGGCTCACTGCAACCTCTGCCTCCCGGGTTCAAGCAATTCTCCTGCCTCAGCCTACCAAGTAGCTGGGATTATAGGTGCCCACCACCATGTCTGGCTAATTTTTGTATTTTTAGTAGACACGGGGTTTCACCATGCTGGTCTCAATAGGGTTTCACCATGTTGGTCGGGCTGGTCTCGAACTCATGACTTCATGATCCACCTGCTTCGGCTTCCCAAAGTACTGAGATTACAGGCATGAGACAGCCCACTCAGCTGGCAAAGCCCATTCTATTGGGAACATTAGAGATAATAACCCACAGGAGGGCTTTACTATTCCTTCCTTCATGTCAAGACTGTGAAAGTTTTTTCTCCTGTCATATGATTATTAAACATCTGCTCTAAAGAATATATTTTGACATTCAATATAGACAATCCTGAAAATTAAAAGACTTTAACTCTCATGTTTCCAAAAATATAGTGTTACCAAAAAAATGGCCGGGTGCAGTGGCTCACACCTATAATCCCAGCACTTTGGGAGGCTGAGGCAGGCAGATCACGAGGTCAGGAGTTCAAGACCAGCCTGACCAACATGGTGAAACCCCGTCTCTACTAAAAATACAAAAATTAGTCAGGCATGGTGGCATGAGCCTGTAATCCCAGCTACTTGGGAGGCTAAGGCAGGAGAATCTCTTGAACCTGGGAGGCAGAGGTTGTGGTAAGCCAAGATTACGTCACTGTACTCCAGCCTGGGGGACAGAGCAAGACTCCATCCCTCAAAAAAAAGGAAAGGAAAATGTTTTTTTCCATAGAAAGGACTGGAATACAAATACTTCCATGAAGACTGACCTGGCAGTGAGGGAGCCCATCAGACTGTGAGTCCATTGTTCAACATCAGTCATAACACGTCTACTTAGAGTGGATTTTCCACACTGTTGGGCTGAGGTCTTATCCCGCCATGCAGCCATCCACACAAGTAATGAACACAAAAACTCTGTACATTACTGATTATCTGATCATATCAAAGGGCTCTGAACATACTGGGACATTAACTCCTAAATCACTAAAAGGAGACCCACAGCGTGGTCTCTCTTACAATTTTTCAGGAATGCCTTTACTGAAAGGTAACGAGTCAGGAGAATGGGCCTGATGAGAGTCTATGGTATCAGTTTGTGCTGAGAATCTGATCCTATGATTTAAGCTTGTCATCTTCTCTTTTAGAGGCAAAACAACATATAATTTTCTATGTCTGCCCTTTGCTGGCTGCCATAATGCCTTGTACTTAAATGATGTTGAAGAAATATACAGTAAATTCAAAGACATTTCACATATCATAATAGCACCTTCAACCCAAGGTGTTGCTCAGCAACTTATGACACTTTTAGTCCTAAAACACTGATTGGTTCTTCCTGTGAGATTACTAAATATGGAAGACTTGAGAAAAGGCTTTCACTTCCCTTTCTCTGTGATAGGAAAGATGTTCCTATTTGGACACTACTCATGGTTCTTCGTTTTCTTTCAAACTCTAATTTCCTGTATGTTTGAGGGAATTTCCAAAGGCACCTGTATGAGGACTTCCTGGTGATATTAAATGGTGAGGAGCCACTATAGTCACGAGGATTCAGTCCACAAATAGGAATCCCTGCAAGCAGTCTAAGCAGAACTGAATGTATTACAGGGAATTATCCCTTAAAATTTTTAAAGGGTCCGGAGGAGCACCAGTCAGCGCAGACCCCTAACTTTAAAGGGTCAGGAACCCATAAGAAGCCTCTGCTGAAGTTGCAGTTCCCCTAGAGCCCCTAGGGAGTAAATGTCTGTAGAATGCAAGGCTGCGGCCAGAACTCATGTCTGTGGAACCTGTGCCTGCTGAGATGGCTGTGGCCTAACTTCCACCTCCCAAATCTCATAATCCTGAGTGTCACTGGAGAAATGTATTCCGCATCAGAAACCTGGGGCTGGGCAAGGCTGGGAGATGTAATATTGTTACTTCCATTCCCTAAGATATAGACAGGGCCAGAGAAGCAAATGGAAATTTTACAAAAATTACTAAATGCAAATACGTGTGTCTGTGTTGGTGGTATATCCACCATATACATAGATCACTCTGGTTCTCCCCACAGTGCCAAGTCTAAAACAAGAGGACATATTCTTCTGGAGAAATAGGTTAGGGCTGAAAGATGAGATAGATTTCACACTGGACCCAGATCAAGTCTGGGACCTCAATACTTCATTTGTTTGTGTGGTTTGAGTTCTGAGAACCTGCAGCCCCTTCTTTTAGTTTCCCTTCCACCACCCCTACCCGCTTTTCCTTCTGCACTGGGGTCCTCATGGTGTTTTTCTCCTACTAGGGAGCCTACCAGAGATGCTGCAGGAATACTGATGTAGGTATTTCTTTCCCAATTCACTACACAAGAAGCTTTTCTGGTGTCACTTCTTCGTATCCTGAGAGGTGGCAGAAGCTGGTCTGCTGAAATACATCTCTATCAGAGTCAAAACTGCAAACTGTTGGTATCAACAAATGCACTAGGACGGTGGGCTAATGGGCCTTCCTGGCATGTCCTGTGTTAAGAAAGGGCTCCATGATATTGGACTCATCTTTAACCTGGGAGGATGGCAGTTGGAGTTTGATTCATTCTCTCTTCACCTCTACCTGAAACCTGATGCTTTAAAGATCAGTTACCTTTATATAGACCTCCTGGAGTGTGCAATTACCCCTCTTTACTTGGACAGTCTTTGTAAATTAGAAAATGCCGGGGTGTGTGTGTGTGTGCGTGTGTGTGTGCGTGTGTGTGTGTGGTGTTTAGAAACTTTGAGTCCACATCTCAGAATATTTTCCTGCTGGCTAACTACAAGTTTCATTGCTATAACTTGAGCACCTATAGTCAGATTGTTCTAGAATTCTGTGTTCTTGTCTGTTCTAAATGGCACAAGCTAAATCTTACAATTGGGAGACTCTGAAGGAAAAGATTAGCTTGAGGGAGGTTGTCTCTAATAGCTGCCCCCATATGGCCACTCCATGGCTTGATTCACTCACTCAGCACCTCCTGTTCCTTAGAAATTCTGGCAATTTGTTTTCAGAGTTCCTTCCGTCTCTGTCATCTCGGCCACTCCAAAGCCAGCACAGAAAATTAGGATACAGGACATTCCGATGCTCTCATCTTCTCATCTTTGTTCTGATCTTCTGAAAACATGCGGGCCCTCACCTGCGAATCCTTTCTTAGCTATTCTTCAGGAATAGGGAATGAATTTACTCAACCATCCACGTAAAACAGAGTCTGGAAACGTCAGTTAAACAGTATGTTCTGTTGCATGAGTAAACTGTGGAATCTCATCAAGGTCAGAATGGCTTTATAGAATTCAGATGTGTTTGTTTGCATAGGTGTGTGTGTGTGTGTGTGTGTCTGTGTGTGTGTGAATGTGTCTTGTGTGTGCATGTGTGTGTGCATGTGTGTGTGTCTGTGTGTGTGCATGTGTGTGTGTCTGTGTGTGTGCATGTGTGTGTGTGTCTGTGTGTGTGTGCATGTGTGTGTGTTGAAGGAGAATTGGAAAAGTATCAATTTCAATCAATCTAACATATAATTTTTAATTTACTCATTAATTCTTTAAATACTATTTGATCATATTCTTTATTTAAGGTACTATCATTTATTTTTGAAAATATCTGAAGCATACAAATGTAATTACTAGGTTGGATAAGCATTAAATGAAATCTTTTTTTTTTTTTTTTTTGAGACGGCGTTTCGCTCTTGTTACCCAGGCTGGAGTGCAATGGCGCGATCTCGGCTCACCGCAACCTCTGCCTCCTGGGATCAGGCAATTCTCCTGCCTCAGCCTCCCGAGTAGCTGGGATTACAGGCATGCGCCACCATGCCCAGCTAAGTTTTTGTATTTTTAGTAGAGACGGGGTTTCACCATGTTGATCAGGATGGTCTCTATCTCTTCACCTCGTGATCCACCCGCCTCGGCCTCCCAAAGTGCTGGGATTACAGGTGTGAGCCACCGCGCCCAGCCTAAATGAAATCTTTAATCAAATAAAAACTCATTGTATCTGCCACTGCCCCTTTAGAGAATTTCATCAGAGATGCTATTCCCTTGACCTTAGGTAGGAATTCTAGCGCATTACATGGATTATTTGCTCGATTCTAATTAATATGCTATTCTAAAATTCCCTTAAATTGCACAAGCATATCTTAGTGCAGCAATTGGATTGTTT